ATGTCTGAGGAAGCATGCAACATAGATAGCGGGGCGATCTGGCTCGCCTGATAATATTTAGTAACATTGGGAACCCCAAGGCCACCCTGAAGTCTATGGACAAAAAGCGTAGTTCTGGAAACTCTGGGGCGTTTATTGGCCCAGATGAAACGCATAATCTTTGCCTGAAGTAACCGAAGGAAATGAGGAGGAACCCGCACTGGGAGGGTGCGAAAATAGTATAGCAGTTTCGGCAAGATGGTCATTTTTACTGAATTAATCCGTCCAATCCATGACAGGTGTGGAAATTGCCAAGAATGCATAAGAGAGGACACAGAGCGAAGCAGTGGATAGTAGTTTGCAGCAAACAGTGAGTCATAGGTGGGGGTCAAGCGGATGCCTAGATATTCAAGAAAAGAAGAAGCCCATTTATAAGGGAAGTGGGACTGTAGGCGCAAAACCAAAAGTGAGGCCAAAGTAATATTAAGCGCGACAGTCTTATCCAAATTGATACAGAGACCCGAAATCAAGGAGAAGCGCTCAAGAACCTGTTGCAAATTTGGAAGCGTCGTCAAGGGGTTAGTGAGAGTCAAGAGGGCATCGTCTGCAAAAAGGTTCAACTTGAACTCCTGTCCAGCGTATGGAACCCCCGATATATTGCAATCAGTCCGGAGCGCCATAGCCAACGGCTCAAGCGCCAGGACAAAGTGCTGGGGACAGGGGGCATCCCTGTCTCGTACCTCGCCAAATAGGAAAGGAATCTGAGAAATACCCAGCGTTTTTAAAGGAAGCCGACGGGGAAGAGTACAAGGCCTGAATCCAAGAAAGAATAGAATCCCCAAAACCCCAGCGAGACAGCACAAACCGCAGATAGTCCCAGGATAGAGAATCAAAGGCTTTATATATGTCTAAGGACAGTAAGAATCCCAGTATTTTCCGTTGTTGTAGAAAATGTATAAGATAAACCACCTTACGAACGTTATCACCCGCCTGTCTCCCAGGGATGAAACCCACTTGATCCCTGTGAATCAGGCTACGCAAATATTTATTGATACGACAGCTGAGAATCTTGCCTAATATCTTCAGGTCTTCTTCCTGCTGTGTTTTTAACACATAGCTGCAATAATTACTGTTTGTGTTTATTATACAGCCATTTTTAGGTTTTTGATAACGCCCTGGAGGAGGGGCGAAACACGTCAGACATACGTCCGGTTTCCTTATGTTGAGCATGTGACGTCATATTCGGGTGGGTGGAGCGCATGCTGGTCGGTGCATTTCAGGGTCATGTTGTACATGCTTAGAGCTGATCTCTTACTTTCTGGAATCTGTTTTTACACTGGGAAGTCTGTTTTGGAGGATTTTGTCAATTGGCAACTTATTTTAAGTTATAATGTGAGTAGATTGAGCACTATTTTATTCAATTAAAAGTCTTTGCACAATTGGTTCTCCTTTGTCTTCCTATATAACACATCGTTATGAGGGGAAATCTCTTTTGAAGATGGATGTAAGGAAGCTCTTGTATATGGAGGAGACTATGGAGAGGAAATTTTCCCTGGGAATTGGAGGATAATATTGTATCCATGAAGTATAATTTATTCTTATCTCTGGTGAGTGCGGAATACATCAGTATTCACAGGAAGGGGTGGATCCGTGGAGTTTTTTTCTCTGTATTACGCTTATCCTAAATTTTTTTGGAGCACTAATGGCATGTTTAACTAGTAGCCGACCGCAGATAGCCGAATGACGGCTGCACTGCGGCCGGCCAGTTCTGAGTGGACGTCATATGACGTCCCCCCCAGAACGCGCTCTCCTGCGCTCCCCAGGGGGCGCGCACCCGGCGATCTCCGTGATCGCTGTGTCCTACGGACACAGCTGATCACGTGATGTGGTAAAAGGCCAATCACAGCGGCCTTTTACCACGTGATCAGCGGTGTCCAATGACACGCTGATCAGAGGGAAATGCAAGTGCCGGTTCTCGGCTGGACTTTCCTCACGCTGTCAGATTGTGAGGAAAGTACTGCCGAGAACCGGCAGTTGTCAGAGAGGGGATCGGCACCGATCATCATGGGCACTGATGATCAGTGCCCTGATGATCGGTGCCCAGCAGTGGCCACCCGCAAGTTCTGCCCACCTGTGCCCAGCAGTGCACCCACTAACTCCGCCCACCTGTGCCCAGCAGATCACCCACCTGTGCCCAGCAGTGCATCCACCTGTGCCACTCTGCAGTGTCACACACCTGTGCCCAGAAGTGCCACCTACCTGTGCCCAGCAGTGCCACCCACCTGTGCCCACCCACCTGTGCCCACCAGTGCCACCCACCAGTGCCACCCACCTGTGCCAGCCCACCAGTGCCCGCCCACCAGTGCCGCCCAGCAGTGCAGCCCAGCAGTGCAGCCAGCAGTGCTGCCAGTCAGTGCCACCAGTCAGTGCCCAGCGGTTGTGCCAGTCAGTGCCGCCAGTCAGTGCCCAGCAGTGATGCCAGTCAGTGCCGTCTATCAGTACCCATCATCAGTGTCACCTATCAGTGCCGCCTATCAGTGCTGCATATTAGTGCCGCCTATCCGTGACACCTCATTAGTGCTGTCTATCAGTGCCGCCTATCCGTGCCACCTCATTAGTACTGCCTATCAGTGCCCTTTAGTGCTGCCCATATCAGTGCCCATCAGTGCTGCCTCATCAACGCACATCAGTGAAGGAGAAAAATTACCTGTTTGAAAAATTTTATAATAGAAACAAAGAAACTTTTTTTTTTTTTTTTTTCAAATTTTTTGCAACTTTTTTATTTATAGTGCAAAAAGTAAAGCGCCCAGTGGCGATTAAATACCACCAAAAGAAAGCTCTATTTGTGAGAAAAAAATGATCAAAATTTCATATGGGTACAATGTTGCATGACCGCGCAATTGTCAATCAAAGTGCGGCAGCGCTGAAAGCTGAAAATTGGCTTGGTAAATAAGGGGGGTATAAGTGCCTGGTAGGCAAGTGGTTAAAGGAGACTTTTTGTTTTTGGTTTCATTACTTTTTGTATTTGGACACAAATTTTATAATTTTCTTTTCATTGTGGTGGTTTTGGACATTTATTTGATAACCACAGAATTTATTATGATTTGTGTATAATTATTTTTGATTAATCAATAAAAAACGCAGCGCTAAATGAGGAAAGTGACAAATGCATCAATGAGGCACAAAATGCTTGCGCTAAAACGTGCTCACAGTAAATATAAAGTGTGTCATCAAATATTGACGAAATAATAGGTGAATGGATAATGCAATAGTGGTAGTAGTGAGAAGTTCCACATAAAAGTAGTAAATCAACTAATGATTGATGAATACATCCTGAAATACATATATATAAAAAAGTCCAAAAGTGATCCGTAAATTTCCGTGCACGTGACTTCCGTGATAGGGATTTGAAGTATGCTTGCACTCACCAGAAGCGCAATGATAATGCGCATGTATTTATATCCAATGAATCCTTGGTGAACATCTGTGGCGGGGACAGCGGGCTCCACTGGTACACACTCAGCACACAGGAAAAGCACTCCAGACCTCACAAACCAGACCCTCACAGCACATTGGGACAACTCCTCTCATGAATCTCCACCACAGGAATATGTTGCCAAAAGGATATAACTCCACCTTAAATGGCTCATCATTCAATGGTCAGTATTTTCTCTCCCACAAATCACAGAGCGATCATTTTCATCATTTAGTGCTGCATTTTTTATGGATTAGTTTATTTGAGGATACAGAGTCCATCCTTAATGCCAGCAGCTTATTTCTAATCGAGCGCTCACTTGTTACACATTTTAATTATTTATTAATTTTATGTTTTGTCACTGTTTTTATTGTTTCACAGCCATTTTTATATGTCTTTGTATGCCCTTGCTGAGATTTTAGTAATAATCTCTTCTTTGGTCCTGGAATTAAAAAAAAACAAAATCGGATATAGGCTCCAACTCTTCCTTTCTCTATTCATAAATAAAGGTTCAATTTAACTTCCATTTTAAGCGTTTCCTTCAAGCAAATGAACATTTGGAACACTAGCAAGGCTTTGTTTGCAGACAGTTGTTCATTCATTAAGTAAACACAAAATGCCATGTAATAATATTAAAACACTGGCATTTCATTTCCATCACGTAAAAGCACTGTGACCATTCAAGGCACAAATGCCTACCAAATAGAATTTTCTTCACCCCACAGTTTGCATTTCATCTCCCCATTGTACTTGTTTTGTTGCATAAAATAAAATCATCCAATATTTGTGATCACAGGAGCCGCATTCAAATGTTGGCTGTTAGCTAATAGGCTGGTTAGTGTGTTATCTTTCTTTAACCACTTGCCTACCGGGCACTTATACCCCCTTATTTACCAGGCCAATTTTCAGCTTTCTGTGCTGTCGCACTTTAAATGACAATTGCGCGGTCATGCAAGATTGTACCCATATGAAATTTTTATCATTTTTTTCCTCACAAATAGAGCTTTCTTTTGGTGGTATTTAATCGCTGCTGGGCACTTTACTTTTTGTGCTATAAGCAAAAAAAGTGCAAAAAAAATTGGAAAAAAAAAAACGTTTCTTTGTTTCTGTTATAAAATTTTTCAAACAGGTAATTTTTCTCCTTCACTGATGTGCGTTGATGAGGCAGCACTGATGGGCACTGATAGGCAGCACTGAAGGGCTTTGATAGGCGGCACTGATAGGCAGCACTAATGAGGTGGCACGGATAGGCAGCACTGATAGGCAGCACTAATGAGGTGTCACGGATAGGCAGCACTGATAGGCAGCACTAATGAGGTGTCACGGATAGGTGGCATTGATATGTGGCACTGATAGGTGACACTGATAATGGGTACTGATAGACAGCACTGATAGGTGGCACTGACTGACATCACTGCTGGGCACTGACTGGCACAACCGCTGGGCACTGACTGGCACAAGCCTGGGCACTGACTGGCAGCACTGGTGGGCACAGGTGGGTGGCACTGGTGGGCACAGGTGGGTGGGCACAGGTAGGTGGCACTTCTGGGCACAGGTGGTGACACTGCTGGGTGGCACAGGTGGGCGCACTGCTGGGCACAGTGGGTGCACTGCTTGGTACAGGTGGGTGCATTGCTGGGCACAGGTGGGCGCACTGCTGGGCACAGGTGGGCGGAACTTGTGTGTGGCACTGCTGGGCACCGATCATCAGGGCACTGATGATCGGTGCCGATTCCCGCTCTGACAACTGCCGGTTTTCGGCAGTACTTTCCTCACAATCTGACAGCGTGAGGAAAGTGCAGCCGAGAACCGGCATTTGCATTTCCTGGTGATCAGCGTGTCGTTGGACACGGCTGATCACGTGGTAAAAGGCCGCTGTGATTGGCCTTTTACCACGTCACGTGATCAGCTGGGTCCGTAGGACACCGATCATAGAGATTGCCAAGTGCACGCCCCCGGGGGCGCACAGGAGAGCGCGTTCTGGGAGGACGTCATACGACATCCACCCAGAACTGGCCGGCCGCAGTGCAGCCGTCATTCGGCTATCTGCGGTCGGCAAGTAGTTAAAGTCAAACTAAACAGAGAAGTGTTAATTGCCATAAACCATTCACATAAATATCATGCCACTTTATTTTGTTTTTTTAAAAGAAAATCTTCGAAGTACCTTATTCCTGCAGCTCTGTTGTGTGGTCACATGACCTTTCCCCGTTCTTTGGCATCTGCACAAAATGATCCTTGGGAGGAGCTTTTATTACTGGAGTATGAGCCTGTGTCTGCACAGCCTAATTGGTGCTGTTCCAGTCACATTACTAAAAAAAAAATATCAGAAGAGCAATTCAGCTTAAGTTATAAATGTCAAACTGTTTTACAAACTCCCTATAAAAATTTATTGAACATCAAGTGTGTATTTTTTGGTGCATTACCATGGTGTAGGTAGAGTAAAAGACAATTGACACTAGCTTTCATTTTTTTTTAGATGGCATCTGCATCCAATGCTCTTTCCTTTACTTTACAGGTATTAACAACAACCATTGTGCTTAGCAATAGGAGGGCATGGAGAAGGAGGGAGGTAGGGAAGTGTCATTTATAACTGTGTATATGTCCTCATGTGTGACTCTATAGTCATGTGGGCCGCACAGATAAGAAAAAGGAGAAAATTAGGAATTTAGAAGGGAACTGAACCTGGAGCATACTCAGTAGATGACAGAGAAGAAGGGAGGGACAGCTGAAGACAGAATCAACCAGATAGATTTCACTCTACACAAAACAAATACTTCAGTGGCTTTCTAAGTATGCACACTCTGTTGCATAACACATAGTGAGAGGTTTTCCTGACACTTTGACTTCTCCGCTACCACCTTTATCAGGGAAGGACAGGAATATAGAGCAAGTGTATTCTGTGTAATTGAATTACTAATTGAAAGGGGCATGTTCAAAATAATAGCAGTGTGGAGTTCTATTAGTGAGGTCATTCATTCTTTGAAAAACAGGTGGCAATTATTGCCCTGATTTAAGGAAGCAAGGCAGCAAATGTTGTACATGCTCGTTACAGTGCACATTTCTCTCTGAAATTCTGAGGAAAATGGGTCGTTCCAGACATTGTTCAGAAGAACAGCGTACCTTGATTAAAAAGTTGATTGGAGAGGGGAAAACATATAAAGAAGTGCAGAAAATGATAGGCTGCTCAGCTAAAATGACCGCAAATGCTTTAAAATGGCAATCAAAACCTGTAAGACGTGGAAGAAAGCAAAAAACTACCATTCCAATGGATAGAAGAAAGCCAAAATGGCAAGGACTCAGCCAACAATCAGCTCCAGGAAGATCAACAAAGGTCTAAAGTTACCTGTGAGTACTGTTACAATTAGAAGACGCCTATGTGAAGCCAAGCTATCTGCAAGAAGCCCCCGCAAAGTCCCACTGTTGAAAAAAAGACATGTGCTGAAGAGGTTACAATTTGCCAAAGAGCACATTGACTGGCCTAAAGAGAAATGGCGCAACATTTTGTGGACTGATGAAAGTAAGATTGTTTTTTTTGGATCTAGTGACCGGAGACAGTTTGTCAGACGACCCCCAAACACTGAATTCAAGCCACAGTACACTGTGAAGACAGTGAAGCATGGTTGCGCAAGCATCATGATATGGGGATGTTTCTCACTACGGTGTTGGGCCTATTTATCACATACCAGGGATCATGGATCAGTTTGAATACATCAGAATACTTGAAGAGGTCATGCTGCCTTATGCTGAAGAGGAAATGCCCTTGAAATGGGTGTTCCAACAAGACAACGACCCCAAACACACCAGTAAACGTGCAGCATCTTGGTTCCAGACCAACAAGATTGACGTTATGGAGTGGCCAGCCCAATCCCCGGATCTTAATCCAATAGAAAACTTGTGGGGTGACATCAAAAATGCAGTTTCTGAGCCAAAACCAAGAAATAAAGAAGAACTGTGGAATGTAGTCCAATCATCCTGGGCTGGAATACCTGTTCACAGGTGCCAGAAGTTGGTTGACTCCATGCAACACAGATGTACAGCAGTTCTCAGAAACAGTGCTTATACAACGAAATATTCATTAACCTCTTGCCGAGCGCGCATAGCCGAATGACGGCTTCACCGCGGCCGGCCAGTTCTGGGTGGACGTCATATGACGTCCTCCCAGAACGCGCTCTCCTGCGCGCCCCAGGGGGCGCGCACCCGGCGATCTCCGTGATCGCTGTGTCCTACGGACACAGCTGATCACGTGATGTGGTAAAAGGCCAATCACAGCGGCCTTTTACCACCTGATCAGCGGTGTCCAATGACACGCTGATCAGAGGGAAATGCAAGTGCCGGTTCTCGGCTGCACTTTCCTCACACTGTCAGATCGTGAGGAAAGTACTGCCAAGAACCGGCAGTTGTCAGAGCGGGGATCGGCACCGATCATCAGGGCACTGATCAGTGCCCTGATGATCGGTGCCCAGCAGTGCCACCCGCAAGTTTCGCCCAGCAGTGCGCCCACTAGCTCCACCCACCCGTGCCCAGCAGTGCACCCACCTGTGTCCACTCTGCAGTGCCACCTACATGTGCCCAGCAGTGCCACCCACCTGTGCCCACCCACCTGTGCCCACCAGTGCCACCCACCTGTGCCCACCCACCAGTGCCACCCACCAGTGCAGCCCAGCAGTGCTGCCAGTCAGTGCCCAGGGGTTGTGCCAGTCAGTGCCGCCAGTCAGTGCCCAGCAGTGATGCCAGTCAGTGCCGTCTATCAGCCTATCCGTGCACACCTCATTAGTAGTGCCGCCTATCTGCCTATCAGTGCCCTTTAGTGCCTGTGCCTATCAGTGCCCATCAGTGCCGCCTATCAGTGCCCATCAGTGCTGCCTCATCAACGCACATCAGTGAAGGAGAAAAAAATGCCTGTTTGAAAAATTTTATAATAGAAACAAAGAAACTTTTTTTTTTTTTAAATTTTTTGCACTTTTTTATTTATAGCGCAAAAAGTAAAGCGCCCAGTGGCGGGGAGTAAATACCTCCAAAAGAAAGCTCTATTTGTGAGGAAAAAATTCTCAAAATTTCATATGGGTACAATGTTGCATGACCGCGCAATTGTCAATCAAAGTGCGGCAGCGCTGAAAGCTGAAAATTGGCCTGGTAAGGAAGGGGGTATAAGTGCCCGGTGCTAGGCAAGTGGTTAAGTGATTCAAAGGAAAGCAAAATCTTCAAACATTTTTCAGTTTATATAGTGAATGTTTGAGTTTGTAAAGAATACAAACACTGCTATTTTTTTTGAACAGTCTAATATTCACTTTTCTTCAATTTTGTTAGAGGAACAACACAAATTTGATATATTTTTTCTTCATGTTTTGATTTGGAATAGAATATGTAGTGTTCCCAATGCATTTGTGTGTATGGAAATAAAAGCTATTCGAAGGATTTTGAGCTTTATTCACTTTTTTCAACACACTGCTATTATTTTGAACACAACTGTAGCTTTTCCACTTGCTGATCCTGGCTGTAATGACCTACAGGTATTTGCACCAAGGCATCCCCTCCCTCATTTCTTCTGCTGTGAAGGTCAGGGGTACCCCTAGGGGGCAAATTATGCACAAGTATGACAGACTAGGAGAACAAAGTTAAAGTGTAAGGCAAATCAAAACTTAAATTAAGCTTAAAAAGATACTAAAGGTTTTTTTTTTTTCCCGGGTCCCAGCGCCGACTTCAGGGTAGACAGCTGACAATAAATGCTCCATATGTCATTTCCCAAGCTTTGCAGTCCGTTTTCACTGCCTGTCTTCTACTACACTGAAGCTGGTGCTGGGACCCGACCAGAGCAGCTTCAGAATAGGTAAGTACAGACATCTTTCCTTTTACGGGGTAGATAGAATAGGCCTAGAATGAGGATGGGAGTAGATTTTAGCTTTGTTAGGTTTTGACCAGCCTTACATTTTAGGAGAGTGGTGGTCAACCTGGTAAATACAAAGGGCTTCAAGTGTAGCCCCTGACATGTCCAAAAGGGCCAAACAGTTGGAATTTATACTTTACAGCAGAGTGATCCCTGTGGAAGCTTCAGCAATACTACAGTGAAAAAAACTCATTGTGATAAGCTTTGTTTCCATGGGTCATTGTATACTGTACGTCTGTGCGGGGCCATGTTTACCTGCACAGGCGTTCTGTCCATCCCTGTGCAGGCAAATCCCATTGATGTCATTTGGGACACAGCCACTGCTCCCAATTTGACATCTGTGTGGCTATGTCCCTGAACGCAGACAGTGTGAGTTTGAGAACATAACACCTGTATGCAGTCACATGAATGTCATACTGGGACACATTGGTGGTGTCATACCAATTGACGTCAATGGGATTGCCAGCATGGGGATGCACAGAACACCTGTACTGGTAAACATGGCCCTGCATGGGCATACATGATATTATACCTCGTGTGGACAAGGCCATATTCTGTGTCCTGTGCTGAATGGGTTCCCTTCTACAAAGTATCCACAGTCCTGCCTCCATTCACAGAGTGACTTGTATTTTTTTTAATAAATACCTTGAATTCTGTGATTGGATAAGGTGGAGATTGTAACCTCACTGACCTGCAACTCCACCCCACCCCACCCAATCAGAGAACACCTTGTATTTATTTAAAATAAAAAATACAAGATGCTCAGTGAATGGTGGCAGTGATGAGCGAGCAACCCACTGTGGTTACTGTGAGCAATGGAAGCCACTCAGTATGGGACCTGGAAGATTGTTACTATCAACGTAGTAACGCAGATTACTACAACAATTGACAGCTTATAAAGCTGGTCAGAAATTTGGCCAGTTTTAAGGAAATTGCCTGTATTTCAGTCCATGTATGGATATTCCAGTGCATGAGAAGTCGATCCATAGATCAACATCTCAGGAACCATTCTGCAGGAAAAAGTTTGCTTGATTAGCACATGCGGTCAATGGACTTCAGTGCTGATCAGTGTATTCTGATGGTGGGGAGTCCCACTGTCAGAATACAATGACAGCAGGGAGGATTTCCATATCCTCATCAAATATGTGGATGGGGAAACTGGTACAATTTTTTTGTTCAGCCCACTGGCTGAATGGAAAAAATAAAACTACCATTTATGGCCAGTTTAACAGTGATCCTGAGATATACATATTAACATTTGTTCAAGCTGGACCAATGTTTTTTTGGTTTTGTTTCATTTTACAGCACTTCTCCAGCTTCCCATTTCCAGTTGTAGGTCAGGATGAAAGCCTCTGCAGGGTCCTATGCCTTTTTTAATCCAAAGTCCAATGGACGGTGGTTGAACGTTTTTCCAGGTAAGAGGTATACATGATTTGGCGGCATTAAGGAGATGGTGGAGTATTAATTTCATAGAAATCTTTGCTGGTATTTTAGAAGCATGAAAGAGGAAGAAGGCAGGATCTTCTGGTACCTTATAATCAGTGAATTTTTGTGTGATCCACATCATCTAAATCCAATGCCTCGGGTCCAAACATCATTCCTATACTTTTGCTTTACTGAACAAAACATAATGCCAAGTTTTGTGTTACTTTAAATAGTTTGTTTGGGCCAAACTGGCGGCTGCAGTCAGCATCAGATATATAGCAGTAGCAGTATAGGGGCTTTTTTTTCTGCTGCCAGAACAAAATCAGGTCAAGAAGAACACTGCTTAGTCATTCACAGGAAGCCTTGCATTTTTATAAATGAATACAAGGCTTCCTCTATGGGCTGAGGTGGAGGCGTAGGCAGTTGACTTAACGATCTCTACCTCAGCCCATCAGAGGAAGCCTGGTATTATTAGCAATGGATATAGGTTTTTTTGGCCAGCTTGGTCCAAACAAACTATTTCAAGTAATTCTAAACCTGGTGTTGAGCTTTAAACTTGTGTACTTTTGTTAGCATTGGAGCAGCCAAAATTACCTATGCCAGCTAAGACCTTACCAGTCCCGACGCTGGCTGAGCCTGGTCCTGTGTAAAGACTAGCCTAACTCAGAAAAGCCCCTCCCAAATGTTTCACCCAGTATTATACATAGTGGAAAGCTACTTAGGAAATAGTCAATTCATGTGGAACATCTAGCCATGGTCATCTTAACAAGACCTTTTCTACTCCTCTAGAGGAAAATCTTGTGTTCAAAGTTATATGCAGCTATCTTCAGTTGATTGGACAGTGGCAGAGAAAGGCTGCAGGGACATCTCCCTATGTAACCCCTCCCAATCCCAGCTAGCCTAAAATCATGAGAACAGAGGGGAAGGTTCTGTGTATTGTACTGTACTCCAGGAAATTGATCTTACTGGTAAGTAAAAATCCTTTTTTCCTGGTCATACAGTACAGGACTAAGACTTCTTTAAATCATTGCAAATGGATAGCCCAAAAGCAGGTCAAGAAGAGTTTGATGGATCCAGAGAGCAGTCTGTAGCACCTTTTGTCTGAACTTGTCATTAGAGAAGGCTTGAACATTCACCTTGTAGAACTTAAAGTGGTTGTAATGGCAGAAGGTTTCTATGCATGAAGGTAAAAGACCTTCTGTGTGCAGCACCCCCCCCCTCAATACTCACCTAAGCACCCTCTCGATCCAGCAATGTGCACTGGATTCCTGGCTATCCTGGGACTTCCTCTTCTCATTGGTTGAGACAGAAGAGGGAGCCTCTGATGAAGAAGAGATGCCCTTTGAAACGTGTCAGCTGTACTCTGAGTGTCTACCCCTATGATGGGACTCGCGCAGGCTTCCTAATTTTCAAGTTCCTTTGAGGACTTACATGATTGATTTACTTCGCTGTTTGTGAGTATCATTTTGTATTCAATAAAATTTTGGTTTACTGAGGTAATGCGCAAGGTTGGTGTGCTTTCTGTTTTGTTTCGCTTCGCAGTACTGGTCGGGCTTCCATAGCTTTGTTTGGAGCTGCACAACCCTATATGCATTGGTGGTCGAATTTTTCCAGCTCTGGTTCCATCTATCCACCACCTATCTGGGTCTCAGAGTGCAGGAGAGTTTCTGGTTCAAATTCACAGATAGTGAGCCAATGAGAAGAAAGAGGGGGCAGGGACGAGCAGTGGCTCTGTGTGTGAGTGGACACACGGAGCAGCAGCGGTGCCCCCATAGCAAGCTGCTTGCTGTTGGGGCACCAGACAGGAGGGAGGATCCAGGAGAGCCTTCAGAGGACATGAGAAGAGGAGGATCCCGGCTGCTTTGTCCAAAACCACTGCACAGAGCAGGTAAGTATAACATGTCTGTTATTTAAACAAAAAAAACAAACCTTTAGTATTGCTTTAAGCTTAATTAGGTTTTGATTTGTCTTACACTTTAACTTTATTCTCCAGCAATTGAGTATAGATATGTTTGTTATTTTTGTATAAAAAAAAATTAGCCTTTAAAAACACTTTAATAAATGTGCAAACAGGAGCCCAGATGGCAGCTT